AGGATCTCAGATGATGCCAACCCTGAAACAACATCCAGAACTACCACATTTTGCTATAAGTTTGATTGCATCATATAATAATTGCTGTTAATATTGTTCATCGTCTGTTTTATTACGTCTTATATTGATTTTTCCGTTCTGCTGGTTCGTCTGGTCAGAGGAGAACTGGCCCCCCGACTGAGCCTGGTTTCTCCCAAGGTTTTTTCTCCATTCTGTCCCCGCTGGAGTTTTGGTTCCTTGCCGCTGTCGCCTCTGGCTTGCTTAGTTGGGGACACTTCATTTCCAGCGTTATCGTTGACATGATTGCAAAGATATTATTTAAACTGAGCTGGATGTTGACATCACTGAATTCAATGATGAACTGTCTTTAACTGAAAAATTAGTGTTTACTATTGTCATTTTGCATTATTGACACTATTTTCCTAATTAATGCTGTTCAGTTGCTTTGTCACAATCTGTATTGTTAAAAGCGCTATATAAATAAAGGTGACTTGACTTGACTTGACTTAATAATATTATAAAATATTATGATTATATATATATATAACAATTATATATTAAAATGTGTTATAATTTAATATTTATTTTGTTTATAATAACTAATATTCCTACATTGTTATGACATGAATATAATTGTATCATATTTTCTGTATTATATATATATTTTTTACAAAACAATAAATACTAATTATTATATATTAAAATACGTGTATAATGTAATACATAGTTTCTAATTAATTTTGATTAATAATAATTAATATTCCTACATTGTATGACATAGGAGTATAATTATTATAATTTCTGCATTTTTGTTTTTTTATTATCTATTACAAAATTATTTTTTATAAAAATAATTGTATATTAAAAAAGTGTGTCATTTAATACATACGTTATTATTAATAATAATGATAATAATAATACATTAATATTCCTACACTATTATAATAGTAATAAGACAATTTTATAATAATTTCTGTACTTTGAAAAACCATTGCAAGGCAATATTAAAACATGTACACAAACAATCTGTATATTTATACATGTTTTTGTAATGCATTTACATGTATTGACAGGTTTTAGGATAGATATACATGTACAAGAAATATACGCCCAACATTTTACTACACGTACATTAACATACATATTTGTATGGGCTAGATATGTATGCTAATATATGAAATTATTCCAGTTTCTATGTTTTTAGTTCATATGACAATATGTTTCATATATGGACATTTATGGGCACTAGAAACGCCAAGGTCATGGGTTCGATTCCCAGTGAATGCATGAACTGATCAAATGTTTACCTTGAAGGCACTGTAAGTTGCTTTGGATAAAAAATCTGATGAATGCATGACTGTAAAATAAATTGAGATTCGTACCTCTGGACTTCATTCCAATAAAGCGGTTCTCCACGATATCGATTCTCCCCACACCATGCTTTCCACTGAGAAACCAGAGAGTGGGTTATTGATCAATAAATACATACAAATGCACATACACTTACTGTACCAAATGACATTTGTACGTTTACATGGCTGATTATGAATGGATACAAGCTGACGTTTCTGAAACACAAGCTCTGATCAGCTGCTCACTCCTGAAGACATGACTGTAAGTACGGAGTTTGAACTCTAACGAGCTTCATGCACGGCAGCAGGTTCTGCTCACCCGATCTCATTCAGATAGCAGAAGATCTCCAGCGCCGTGTCTCTGGACTTTCCTTCTTTAACATGCGTGACTTTGACTGGAACACCTGAAAGAACCAACATACATCAGTGTGAAGAGGAGAGATGGACGGATGGAAGGATAGATAGACGGATAGAAGGATAGATGGATAGATAGATAGATGAAGATCAGTGTGAAGAGGAGAGACGGACGGATGGAAGGATAGATAGATAGATGAAGATCAGTGTGAAGAGGAGAGATGGACGGATGGACAGATATACAGATAGACGGATAGAAGGATAGATGGATAGATAGATAGATGAAAATCAGTGTGAAGAGGAGAGACGGACGGATGGAAGGATAGATAGATAGATGAAAATCAGTGTGAAGAGGAGAGATAGACGGACGGACGGATGGACAGATGGATGGATGGATGGATGGATGATGGATGGATGGATGGACAGATGGCTGGATGGATGGATGAATGGAGAGACTGATGGATAATGGATGGATGAATAGACAGATGGATGGATGGATGGATAGATAGTCAGGTGGATGAATAGACCGATAGATGGACAGAAAGATGGATGATGGTGGATGGATGGATAGATAGACAGATGGATGGATGGATGGAGAGACGGATAGATGGATGGATGGATGGAGAGATGGATAGATGGATGGATGGATGGATGGAGAGACGGATGGATAATGGATGGATGAATAGACAGATGGATGGATGGATGGATGGATGGATGGAGAGACGGATAGATGGATGGATGGATGGATGGAGAGACGGATAGATGGATGGATGGATGAGACGGATGGATGATGGATGGATGAATAGACAGATGGATGGATGGATGGATGGATGGAGAGATGGATGGATGATGGATGGATGAATAGACAGATGGATGGATGGATAGATGGATGGATAGATAGATAGATGATAGATGGATGGATGGATGGATGGCTGGATGGCTGGCTGGATGGATGGATGGATGGATAGATAGATAGATGATAGATGGATGGATGGATGGATGGCTGGATGGCTGGCTGGATGGATGGATGGATGGATAGATAGATAGATGATAGATGGATGGATGGATGGATGGCTGGATGGCTGGCTGGATGGATGGATGGATGGATAGATGGATGGATGGATGGACGGATAGATGGACAGATAGATGGATGGATGGATGGATAGACAGATGGATGGATGGATGGAGAGACGGATAGATGGATTGATTGATGGATGGATGGATGGATGGACGGATAGATGGACAGATAGATGGATGGATGGAGAGACGGATGGATGGATGGATGGATGGATGGATGGATGGATGGATGGAAGGATGGGTGGACGGATGGATGGATGGATGGATGGATGGATGGATGGATGGATGGATGGATGGATGGATGGATGGATGGATGGATGGATGGATGGATGGATGGATGGATGGATGGATGGATGGATGGATGGATGGATGGATGGATGGATGGATGGATGGATGGATGGACGGATAGATGAATAGACAAATAGACAGCCAGACAGATAGATAGATAGATAGATAGATAGATAGAGACAGTATGTTTTAATCTTTATTTTCAACACTACATCTGTTGTTTTATCAGTTTGAATACATTTAAAATGTATTTATCTTTTTTTTAATAAATAAGTGGCATATATTTCATGTTAAAGTGTTGCTGAAGATGTTTTTGATGTTTCACGCAGTTATTAATATTAATTTGAAATTTGACATTTGAATTTCATTTTAAGTTTGTATTTAAATTAGAATTTTTAATCTGCAACAGTTCATAGTGACCATCATAGTGTCTGTCAAGCTCCAAAAAAGAAAACAAAACAGCATAAAAGTATCATAATATTAGTCTATGTCTATATTTCAAGTCTTCTGAAGTCATAGTCAAGATGCGATTCAATAATAATTTCTCTCATATCAAATATGGTGCCATTGCGTGTCGTCACAGTGTTATTTAAGTATCAATGAGATGCTCATAGTTTTTATTAATAATTAGAATTATTTTCAAATTTAATTTTTTATTAAAGTTTTGTGTTTTGTAATTTTTTATTAGTTTTTTTTTATTAATGTCTGTATTTTTTCAATTAATTTTTATTTTAGTTTTAATTTTAGTTGTTTTAGTTCATTAAGTACAACTTATTTATGACATTTATTGCACTTTTTGAAACTCAAAAGTCACTTTGAACAGTTGTTGCATGGAAAAGAGTAAATAATGACACTTTTGGCCTTGACCAATATTCTCGGACGAGAAGTTTTCATTCCCATATCCAGAGTCCTCGAGGCCTTCAGATAGATTCAAAGCTGAAATAAATGAAACACTGCATGAAGACGGAGTCTCTCGGCCACTTCTCTCTCTCTCTCCGTGTGCACCGCACTCTTTCTCTCAGCCTCAGAAAAGCAACAATAGGACAGAAGACACAGTTGTAGGAAAAATTACCGCTTTACATTTTTCCACTCTTTCCCCGTCTTTCGCGCCGTCCTCCTTTTGAGGTGCAGCAGAAGACGTGGCAAAGAAACGGGGGTTGAAATGACAAGAGGGAAAAGGTCTGGTCTCTCTCAATGAGAGAGAGTGCTGAGAAAGTGAGGAGAAGAAAAGACGGAGCAGAATAGAAAGATAAACCAGGTCTTTACAGGGGGGCTTCTATTGTGAGAATCACTAAAACAGCTTTTCTCATGGACGTGCTCAAATATCTATGAATACTGATATGGCCGATCAAAACGGATCATAGCGCACAATGACACCGCTGTCTGATAAAATCACATTACTAGTTCACTCGGGGTCCCACACAAGCATTGAAATTCTAATTCTGCAAATATGGGAACCGGAGTTCGACTTTGTTTAACTGCCTGGAAACAGAGACTGCATGAACACTCGCTGTATTATTGCACAGCTCTCTATATAAAAATAGATATATATCAGATTTCAATTTAAGTGCATGTGATATATTCTACACAGCAAATCTTAACTGCGTGATTTTTTATTTAGTTGGAAAATGTTACTCTATCATTGACTAACTCTTTATATATACATGTCTTATCTAACAATAGAAGTCTTTACTATCACTTTTTATCAATTTAACACATCCTTGCTGA